CCTCTTAAACCTCCGGGCCATCACGAAATTTTCAGTACTTAATGCCACTGTGCAATGTAACAACCACTTTTCACTATTTATGTATTCCAGATTCCGTGCTACTACTGAGATTATTTTTAAAACCCAGTAATACTTTGCCCGACCCGGGAATGGAAACCGAGACCCCTTACCCGGCACTCGCACTTGCGACCACTCGGCCAACGAGGCAGTTACTAATAAAGATTCGCCATTAACAATTAGGTACAGTTTTAATCAACATAATCTAAGTAGAACGATCCTAGTAGGAGTCTGTTGACGTACTGTCCAAAGAGATTGGTTCACGCTGCTCCCGTGTCAACACTTCACGCAACTAGTGATTGGAGCCATTTTCCTAAGGGTACAGCAAACATCTACAGAATATTCCATTTAAATTTAAGTTGGTAATTTTATGTCGTTTCTATAACAGACTCCTTGCTGGTCTAATGGTTTGTGTATAAATAATGAAACATGAGTTGATGGACACAATTCGCGATTCCATTTCATCTTAGATGACTATGATTTTAAGCGTGGGAGAGCCATGCTTCGGCACGAATGGGCCGGTTCGACCGGAGTGATACCACGGCCTCACAGAAAACCGACGTGAAGCAACGCTTGCGTTGTGTTTCGTCGTGTGAGTGAGGTTACCGGAGGCCCAATTACCTTCCCCTTCCCCAATCTCCTCAATCCCTGAATCCCCAACGATTCTAAAACTCCTAATCCCCAAAAAGCCGGTGACGCACTTGTAACGCCTTTGATGTTCCAGGTGTACATGGGCGACGCCGATTGCTTACCATCAGGTGATCCATCTGCTCGTTTACCGGCTTAAGCCATAGAAAAAAAATAAAAAAAATAACGACCATCTCATGGATAGCCCTTGGGGGATTGAAAGATATGATAAGATGTCTATTATATCGAATAGATATCACTTAAGAAAATGTCCGTCATGGTATCCTTCCTTAGACAAATACAATACCAATATGTATGTATATCTTTGTACCTGCATTCACGTTGTTATCGTGAACTTCAATTGAGTTGTGTTCAGGTCAGCGCTCAGCCCACACCTGACCTTAAATCGATTTGCACGATTACCGCTCCGGGTCAGTGTGGAATTCTCAAGATGTTGTCGATCAATATTGAAACAAATCTAAATAAATATCAGCATAATTGATATGAGTTTTATGTTTAACGTCTTAGAGTTTCTTTTTGTTTTCGTTGCATAGTAAAAATGTATCTAGTATTCATATTTTATCTTCATAAGATATTAAATTACCTTATTGAAGTGAAAAATAGCAAATTCAAAAAGCCACATTTGCAAAGGAAATAAAATACAGCGCTCAGAACAAAAGCACTTCATTTGCTCCACTGAGATTTGAAAGAAAAACATGGAAACTCAACACTTGCACTTCAATTTACATTTTCGTGTGCATTCAATTTAACATTTTACAACGTCGGTAGTACCGCTCTGGAAGCGCTAAAGAAACGTGCCTTTTATGATGTCAAAAGCACACAGACAAACATACTCACACACATGCATACTTGCCATATAATTAAGCACTAGCGCTAGGGTTACCAAATGTAACCCAATTTTTTCACCCATAATGACTATCGTATTGTTTTTACTGAGTAAGAAAATCATACATTACTTTGGATACTATTACTATTATACTACAATATTATAGTTTTGGTCTATGTTTATGTCTAATGTCTATATCCAAATCTTACAAATAACAAAATAAATAAAATGACCTATTAGTTGTAGGTATCATCTTCAAAATCACAATGCAGCCTTTAAAAATTGTCACACAATGCAGCCTAAATCCTCAAAAATTTAAGAGCAAGTAACAAAAATGTGAAAACCTTTTAAAGGTAGAGTAAGGTTCCGAGAATTTATTTCCACGTTTTCACAGCCCTAAGTCATCTTATATGAGTTTCTGAAGTGGACTTATAACAGTAATAGCAAGAGGTTGAGAGACAAATACTTATTGCATTATTTTTGCAACGTGACGTTACAGATATTTTCTATTAAATGTTCGTAAATTTATTGTGGTATCGCATAGTACTTCAATAATTAGATGTACATTCTTTTATAAGAAGTCTATAAATAGTATAGTATAGTATATATGTGTGCCATTGGAGAGGCTTATGTCCAGCAGTGGACGAAAACAGACTGTTGATAATGATGATGATGATAAAAAGTCTCAAAAACAAATATTTTCTGAGAAATCTCATGATTGAATTAGACCTACGGCTAATATGTTCCCGTTAGAATCATAAAGGTGTGGATACAGCTGGTGTGGTCCACACCTACAATACCATGACAAATAAGTATAATTGGGATAATAACAGGGTATGAAAATTAAAAATCTAATTAGTCCGTAAGTTAGGTAATGAAAAATATTGGACACGTATTTTTTTATTTTGTCGTATAATAAAACAATATTTAGATAAAACGAATCAAAGTTTACGAGTGCGGGCTAAAACGTCATTTCTACGTATAAATGTGCATAGAAATGACGTCACACGACATTTCAAATCAATATATCGTCGAAAGTTTTCGATTCTGTAAGAAAATAAAAAATACGTGTCTAATGATTTAAAAGAATCTACCAGACGGACATTAAGATACAAATTAGTTACCTTATCTTTATTACCTTATTGTAGCAACTATTCTTTGGTTACACGTCGTTATAAAAAGAACCCTTATATTCAGGTAATACTAAAATCGATCTAGAGGCATTATTGTATGCTGCAGAACTTATTATGCACCCTTCCACTAGACATTGATTTATTGTTCCTCACAACTACAGTAAGTACATTTCCCCAGCAACTTCCAACGTTCATCTTAACTACCTTACATCTTCACACCTTCATAACAGTCATCAAATATTTACCCCAATTCGTCTTGCACGAGCAAGCAAAAGCGGTCCTTAGCTACACAAAACAACGTTGAATTTTCGCGCATTTTCGCTCACGTTTGACGTGATACAAGTTCGAATATTGAATGAGCTTTGAATAAATAATGGTACGAATAAACTTGAATAAACTTGTACAATGTATGTTTTGTTCATCTTTTCTTATTCAAGTTTCGTATGATGTACATTTTTATGTACGGTTGTCAATTTTACCACGCGTTTGTAGTAACGCTTGAAAATATTTGTTACTTTAAACATGACTATAACGAAAAATTAAAAAATACATTTGAAATTACCCTACGGAGTACGAAATTTAGACTTTACCCACACCTGCCCATTCTTACCAGTTAATTCAAATATATTATTGAACATTTAATTAATATGAAAGGGCGAGCATTATCATCATAAATTTAGTATTCATAGATTGGGCTTTGAAGTAAATGAGAGTTATCCCTTGCCTAAATAAACTTTGGTATCGCAGAGGGCGGAGATGTGTGAGTGAAACCATAATATTAACCAGGCTTGCATTGATGCTGTATAAATATTCCACTGGAAAATAATGTAGTAGGTTTACATTTTCAGGCATCAACATCGATTTTCTTTCATTGAGCGCCAGACGAATAATTTGTAAAAAGTCATATTATCATAAGGTTTCGTATATATTTGAAGTATAGGCAAATTATCAGCTTACAAAGATGTCTACATAACGAAATACGTATCGTTTATTTTTCTCTACATGTGACATCTATTTTCAATTTATTATCCCGTCAGTAGTGCACAGATGCAACAACTTCTCACACAAACTTTGTAGAAAACTTACCTACAAGGTAAATGATGACTCGTTAGTTCAGGCTCTCATCTTCCCGTAATATTTTCTTTGAAATAGTATTAGATTGTGTTTGTCTTGTCAATGAAATATTTTATATTAGTATTTGGGCGGTAAATAAATATATTATTAACTGTGACTAATATAACAGAGTCTTTTTTATGGGGGAAAATTAACGAACGGTTTCTCACGCCTGGGTGAGGCGTGAGGGTGTGTCAGATTCTTACTGACTAAAAACCGCCCCATTCCTACTTGTGCATTTCGAATCGGAGCCCCGGGGACCTTTTATCTTCTCCGCGGCTCCGTATTGGCATCAACCTTACTGGGTGGTGGTCTGATGGCTCTTTGACGCGCGGAACGTGACCCACCGTACCCTTGGACAAAAGGAGTCTACGTCTCCAAGCCCTCATTTGTCTCCAAATAGAAACATCGTATCATAGCATAGCCTCGTTTCATTAAGCCGTGTAAGAAATAAAAACAAACAGAAATACGTTTAATTAAATTAAAGATAGATAGGTATTCATATTTTTTCGTCAGTAATAATGTAATTAAGATCAATAATTAACATTTTCTTTTTCAGGTTATAAGCATAGCACTATTATTAGTACTATAACTAGTGCTATACCTCGTAGGAATCTGGTAGCCATTAAGTTTGATAAATTTTGAATGGTATAAGGTACCATTCAAAATTTACAAAAATCCTTTACAAATCAGTGGTTATTCATCAAAACTGTGATTTCATTGCGAATAATATAAAACATTAATTACATCAAAAATGGAAGCCATTTAACACGAGGTCGGCCATTCATCTTAGCCCTGGAACACAAATTGTCGTTGAGTAATTATAAAAAATAAAAGGACGAGTACTTTTCGTGTCGTTTTGATAATTAGATAGAAGTTTATCCATTTTGATTTTTATGAAATTCTGACGTTTAACGTAAATATAATAATGTTTGTTTGTACGGAAGGAAAGCAATTACTTTTATGAGGGCGGAAATCTTAAAATAGATACGATGTTATTTATTTCGTAGGTTGTATCCAACTTTTTTGACATTTCGTCTATTTTGTCTTTTTTTTTATGGCATAAGCCGGTAAACGAACAGATGGTAAGAAATCAGCGTCGCCCATGGACACCTGGAACACCAGAAACATTACAAGTGCGTTACCGGCCTTTTGCGGATTAAGAGTGAGGATTGTGGGGGATTCGGGGATTGGGGATCTCGTTGAAGGGGGGAGAGTAGCTGGGCCTCCGGTAACCTCACTCACACTCACAAAACGCAAGCGTTGCTTCACGTCGGTTTTCTGTGAGGCCGTGGTATCACTCCGGTCGAGCCGGCCCATTCGTGCCGAAGCATGGCTCTCGCAACACTTGAACTTGAACTTTGTCTTTTAAATAAATAGTAATAAAGCATAAATAAATAGTTAGCGCATTAAGGAAGGCATTAAAAAAGTTGAATAAGAGACGCTTTGTAGCCGCCTTGCAGCATGAAAATGAAATGTAAAATACAGACAAAAGTAAACACGAATTATATACGAATATCAAAGAAATTCGTATTTCAAATTAACTAATGAACGAAAATCATAAGATCGAAACGTAATCAGACGAATGTTATTACCATCTAAAAATTGGTTCATCAATAATAAATTTTCCAGAGATTCTAGAACTCAATTTCCAATTAGGTTAGTAATTTAATTAAAACAAAGTTAACGTATCGGAAAGCAGTTCCACTGTTCTTAATAAAGCCGGCAATATTACTCGTACTAATTAATTGAACGTGTGTAATAATGCTGGTTAGCCATTCTTTGTGCAGGTACGACAGTAATATAGCGGTTGCAATGTATTTCTACTTGAATTTATTTGTTCTTGTAAGTTTTTTTTCAATTGTTTTTACATAACATAACATAATATATCATCACGCCTTTTAATCCTGAAGGGAAGGCAGAGAGGCACATTACGGCACTTAATGCTACTGTATAATGTAACACCCACTTTTCTACTATTTATGTTATGTGTCCTATGTAATAGGGGGTGATCCTATTGCCATATACCGGGCACATTTCCAGACTCCGTGCTTCTACTGAGATTTTTAAAAACCCAGTAATACTTTGCCCGACTCTGGAATTGTGCCCGAGACCCCTTGCCGGCAGTCGCACTTGCGACTACTCGGCCAATGAGGCTGTAAGTTAATAGTTTTTATATTAATTTGTTACAGATTTCTTTTTGTAAATGTCGGTTATGTGTTTATTACCATGCTCTGAGCCACATGTAATATTATTACCTACCCATTGTCATATAAAAATCAGTCTTCGTTTTATTATTGAAAATTTTCGTGTGACAATGACAAAGAATAAAATAAATACCAATTTATGCTATAACCGACATTTTATTTCAATTATGTACACAAAAATTATGACATTCACATGGTATTTTAATAGTTTATCTGAGCTGTTACTTAACTCATAGCTATTCTAAATAATGCTCTATTTGTTAATAATTTATTAACTTTTGTACTTTTTATTACAGCTACTTTGTTTAACAATAGTAACCTGTAGCAGCAGTAAGTCTGATGGAGATTTCGATACGAAAGCAATACAGAAATTGGGTACGTTTATAACACATTAAATAATGTTATCTATGTGTTTAATTTAGAGACTATTTTGCCGTGTTATCAGACGCGATTTTAAAGTGTAAATTTGATTGCAGTGTCAGGGTTGACCTCTTTGACGGGTGACCAGGGTGGGGGCCCTGAAAGTGCTCTTGGGAGTGCTCTCGAAGGGTTGGTATTGGGTTCAGAATCAAGTGCATCGTCAGAAATGGTTAATTCTGATCTGGACAGCAAAGGTATGAGTCACGAGTCTTTTTTTTTATTAATGTTTTTTTTTATTTTTATTAAAAATGATAAATATGTTTCACAGAAATAAAAAAGTATTTCAATGACATGGGTGAGTTTCAAATTTTAATTTCGTAGGTACAGGTATAGTTAAAATTCTAGATATTTTTTCATAATACGAAATCTTTAACAATATCAATTCTTATTTTAGCCAAAAAGGAAGAAAATTATTACAAGAAAGCCATGCGTAAGTTATTAAAGGATAAGAATTAAAATAATTATTATTAACTGTACCTAATTTATAATCGTAGAACCTAGAGGTATAATTAATTTGATTTTTTTTACTATTTTTAGAACGTCAAATCAGTCAAGAAGGTATGTTAAAATGGAATATTATTACTTTTAACAATTACATTGTTAAATTTGACATCAGTATAAAAATGTTAATTATTTTTACAGAAAAAGATCAAGTGAAATATTACGAAAACTTGTTAGCTAAAATTAAATCTCTGAATAGTAAGTGACAATACAATGAATTAATAACTATGATATGACAAAAAATAAGAGGTGTATTCTACAATTAATGTTGTTGTATTTTATTTCCAGTATAAAATGAAGAACTTGATATATTGCTTTTCAAAAAATAAATAATAGAGAATTATATTTACTGTAGTTTTATTTCATAAACAGTATTAGATTAATTAAGTATAGCTATACTAGAGGTATAATAAAATATCATGAATACAAATACATATTAAATTGTATTGTTTTCCTATAGGTATTAATTTAATCAATACTCTTCTTAAAGTCGGGGAAATTGTACGAGGTAGTGTTGAAATTTCTATGCAATTTTACACATTATAGCAAAAGGCTTTTTCCACGAACGGAATAAGGTAGAGATTCACATATTTAATGTAAATTCAGAGTCAAAGCATTTCTTACAATTAAACCATAATCTGGTACTTTTGTAACGTCAACATATACAAAATAAATAATAGTCTGTTAGTCTGTCCATCAGTGAAGCTAGGTGCACTCCTCGTGTCACCTTCACTTTTCACCCGTGTTATGTTGAGTGTATGAGTGTGGACACAGATGTAGTCAAGACTGTGATATTTAAGAAAGTACTAAAGATTTCCGAATATCAAAACTCTATCTATTGTCCAACGATACCGTCCCATTAATAAAAATGAAACAAAATGTCATTGGCGAAATTATTTAATTCATATTCATATTTATTTATTTGCGTACCACAAAGTTACTATTTTTAACGGGTAACCGGGGCTCCGGCTCGACGTGCAGGAGTAGGAACGGGGTGGCTTTTAGTCAGTAAGAGTCTGACACTCCCGCCTCACCCAGGCGGGAGCAGTCATTCGATGATTTTCCCCCCTTAAAAAAATCATTTTCAATCAAAACCATATTTAATTATCTGAAATTGTTTGATAATTATCGTATGGTCTTAATTAATGAAATGCATTCAATCGTGATTAAGTTCAATCAGTAAATTTGCTATTCAATCATTCACTGCGGCTGGTCGTGGCATCAACGTAAACATTGATTGTTGTAATGCCCTTTCAACTTTATTTATTTTCATTTGTGAGTATTAGTGTACATGAAAACATTCAATTATTCTTTTTTCTGTTTTTTTTTAACATAACATAACATCACGCCTTTTATCCATCCTCGAGAAGATAGGTAAAGGTGCACATTACGGCATTTAATGCCACTGTACAATGTAACAACTACTCTTCACTATTTATGTTATAAGTACCATGTAATAGGGGGTGAGCCAATTGCCATACCGGGCACAATTCCAGACTCCGTGCTACTACTGAGGATTTTTAAAAACCCAGTAACCAGTACTTCGCCCGACCTGGCAATCGAACTCGAGACCCCTTATCCGGCAGCTGCAATTGCGACCACTCAGCCAACGAGGCAGTCTGTCAGTTTATTTTTTAATCAAAACATAAATAAGTGGGTATTAATTTTTTTGTATTTTTTTCAGTTTCTCATGGTATTAAACGTAAAGGTCGTTTATTCACACGATGGATTACATTATAGGGAAGTCTGTAAGTATAAGCGTTACTATTCTAGTAAATATCAATGTATTAAAAACTAGCCTCGACTAGCTTGCTTTAGACGCCCGCTTCTCATGTACCAATGTGACTTTTTCCGATTTATATGTAGGTACTTTCTAAGGTTATTTAAACACCACTGACAAACGGTGCAGCAAAACATCGTGAGGAAACTTGGGCTTATAATTTCTAATTTTAAGTTTGAAATCGCCAATGCACAATGAGCAAACGTGGTGAATAATGTTCGAACCTTCTCCGTGTGAGAAGAGGCCTTGCTCAGCAGTGGGCACATACAGGCTGTTGATGATGACGAGTCAAGATTTACAGTAAACAGTTGAAAAATTATATGAGGAACTTACTAAAATGAACACGAACAAGACGAATGTTTTTTATATTTTTGTTGACTTACAGTGGACTACGTACGAAATGACGATGCCAGTACAGGGGAGACCGAAACAATAAGCCAAGGTAAATATTTTTAATAATTTCTTTGCATTGATTTACTTATCATTTCATGTATACCATACAGTAGACAATATTACAGAGGACAACACATTACAAGCATAAGGTACATGGGTACAGATTATATTGTATTATGTTGATGTTTGTTACTGCTGGACGGATTGGGATAAAAAAATATCAGAAACGTAGTTTGTAACATAGAATATACATAAACCTACTTGCGAAGTCGTGCAAGAAGCCAGCAAAACAAAAAAATTGTTGTACTAATAACAATTTTTTCAGAAATTTATTAAATAAAACAAAATTGTCTCATTTCAGAATTTTCCAGGATACAGAAAAACTATGGTACGTATTTGTTATTGTTAAAGAATTCTTTGTGAAAACTGAATGTTAAAAATAATTTTGTGTTTTAGCAAGATTGCATGCTGAAAAATACAAGGATTATAAAGGTAAAGAAATACTTGTCAATAATTAATTTTTATAGTTTTAATAAAGATTATTTTAATGCACTTTATTTTTTCGTCCTTAAATTAAATGTATATATAAATCAACATTGATTTGTCGCTAGATATAAGTATAATGCTGTAATTGAAGAGTGGCATTAAATTAATAATATAGTATTGTATTTTAAAGAGCTCTTAATGTTTAGAGATGGACACCAAAACAAAACAACATTTTCTGAAATTGATACCCAATATGAGTGGTAAGTTTTTAATTGATTAAAACGAAATAATAACTGAACTTTGCTTATATTTATAAAACGTTATGTTATTATCAATCTGACCTCTTATAGATAAATATCATTTTAGACCTAATAGGACAAAAAATAAGAAGCAATTTTGCTCATAATTTACCCAAAATAATTAAACATTGTATTATTTACATCTTTATCGCCCGAATACTGAAAGGCTACTCAATTTTAGCACTGACCCGGAAGTTTTGGGTTCGAAACCTACCAACGGCAAGTACTAATGTGACTTTTTCCGAGTTATATGTAGGTACTTTCAAAGATTATCCAGACACCACTAACAAACGGTGAAGGAAAAGATCGTGAGGAAACCTGGGCTTATAATTTCTAATTACAAGATTGTAATCGCCAGCCCGTAATAAGAAAGCGTGGTGATTAATACTCAAACCTTCTCCGTGTGACAAGGGGCTTTGTTCAGCAGTGGGCATTTATAGGCTGTTAAACTAAACTCTATTAAGTTGTATTTAAATACCGTGCTATCTCTCTCATTTTAGAAAGAACTTGCAGTGACATAAGTATGTTTAAACGCGACTTAAAATTGAGTAGATTTTCAGTATTCACTCTCTTTAGGTACCTGAGGTACATACTTAAGTATTTTCTTTATTTATGCCGGAAAAGAAAAATCTAGTACTGTCAGATTATCACTATTGTCCATTTGGAGTAAAGCAGCATAAACAGCTGTGTTACTATAATCGTTACTCCACAAACTACTGTAATGGGTTCATTTGGTTAAACATCAAAAGAATCTGTTCCATTTACTTACAACTTTTGGTTGTGAGCCAAAAATATTCTGTGCGGAAAAATACATTAGGATATCTTTCTTATTATTTGCATAAAGAACTAAGATTGTGAGAGGTGTTCCCCACAATCTTATAGTATTTTTGTATAACTGGACTAACTAGTTCTTATAAGATTGGGTCAACTGACTTACCAAACTTCGTACCGCCTACATCTTTTTTCTCATATTTTAAACCTTCCCTTGCGGATACATGTCCCTTTCAACCGGCCTATCTGGAAGTCATTGGGGTAGGCCTATGTTCAGCAGAAGACGTCCTGTGGCTGATATGATGATGATGATGAAACCTTGCCTGGATTTTCAGGAACATTTCAAGACTAAGAGTAGCTAAATCGGTTCAGCCGTTCTCGAGTTTTAGCAATACTAACGAACCGAAATTAATTTTTATTTTTTATTTATATAGATGCATAGATAACATGAAAAACTTATTCAAATAATGACTTCTATGAGATCATTTTAAATCCAATTTTTACTGCCAATGCATTAGTATTTATACGACTTGTACACTATAGGTACCTGATCAAATTAAGAAAACATTAATTGTCGAGTCAGACTACGAATATGGCAACACTAAGTGTGGGAGAGCCATGCTTCGGCACGAATGGGCCGGCTCGACCGGAGTGATACTACGGCCTCACAGAAAACCGACGTGAAGCAACGCTTTCGTTGTGTTTCGTCATGTGAGTGAGGTTACTGGGGGCCCAATTACCCTTCCCTTCCCCAATCTCCCCAATTCCTGAATCCCCAACTATCCTCAAACTCCTAATCCCCAAAAGGCCGGTAACGCACTTGTAACACCTCTGGTGTTCCAGGTGTCCATGGGCGACGCCGATTGCTTACTATCAGGTGATCCGACAGTTCTTTTACCGGTTTATGCCATAAAAAAAGAACACTAACTATTAATATGCAAGTCAAACATAAACATTTATTTTTCAGATAAATGGAAGGAACAAGCCGCTGGTATGTTTTCAATTTTATTTCTTATTTATTACTTTATTAGCTTCTGCCCGCGACTTCGTACACACAATACCGTTTTCTCCCTTTCCCGTAGGATTTCCAGGATTTTTCTTTCTGTCATAAGAACCTTCTCCTGACAATAACAAATATAACAAAAGAAATCAGCCAAATCGGTCTAGCCGTATTCAAGTTATGGCATGATAACGGGATACGGGTTTTATTTTTGTATATTATATAGATATATAAATTTACTAAACTGCTTAGAATTTAGATTATTTAGACCTGTATTCAGCGGATGCTCTCTGCGCTTTTTATCAAGTTGTATGTCCACCTTATCAGTCTAGAAGTTATAGAGGTTTGTGCTCAGCTAGGCTATTCTAAAACAGTCAATTCAAACTTTCGAAATGAGTTCAATCGCATTCTCACCTGTCATTGGTCGAGATTATTTTCACAACCAATAACATGGCGGGCCGCCATCGAGTTCACTTCGGTACATGTAGTGGATTTTGAGGTCGGCTACATTTAAAACTAATAATAATAACCTTTAAACTTTACAGTAAAAGAAAACCTGGATTATTTCGTAGAGCTCATGCAGTCAATAAAAAATCCAAGTAAGTCTTACAGAGTTCTTATTCTCGAGGGGGTAGGGGGTGTCACTGTACAATCATGTAACACCCAATTTTCACTATTTGTTTTGAGTTCCATGTTGTAGGGGTGAGCCTATTGCCAGGCTCCATGCTACTACTGAGAATTAAAAAAAAAACCTTGTAGTACTATACCCGACCGGGTATCTAACCTGAGGCCCCTTGCCCGGCAGCTGAACTTGCCATTCAGCCAACGAGGCAGTGTTTAAAAGAACCTTTATATCATCGCACCGTTCGCCATTGACAGGGAGTTCACGCTCACACATTGGAGCCCAAATGTCCCGTACAGTTCGATTTCAGAGGAATTTCGATTGTGGAATGAACTCCCTGCTGTGGTTTTCTCAGTGGGCTATAACATGGGGTTAATGCCCCAAATATTGCAGGCCACGGTAACCGCTTACCATCAGGTGGGCCGTGTGCTTTTTTGCCACCGTCGTGGTATAAAAAAAACCTATTTAAATTTTTTTATTAATAATAACCGACAGTAGATACCTATTTTTACTGGTATTGGCTATTATTCTCTGTTGTAATATTGAAATGAACTCAAACAGTTATGTTAATTATTTTTCTTTACTCAATTTCCAGGTGTATTTCCAGAATTTAAGGAATTGCAGGACAAAATCAAGGTGCTAAATGCAAGTAAGTAATTTTATTAACTTAAGAAGTGAATCAAGACAGAGGCTTAAGTACAAGTTCGTTTTGCGTTTAAAGTAATCGAAATGAGATCGCATTCGGCGCTTTGAGTACCAAACACGAACACGATTGGTTGGTTAACTGGAGCCGGCCAATCAGAGCGCCGAGCAAACTCGATACTCTTACGTTACGAATACGATAGTTATTCGTGCTTTTTTTTTTTAAACGTTGCCCCACATTAGCATTTTCTCCTGTGTCGTGGGTGCGTTTACAAACATACAATATCACATACACATGACACACAGACCCGGAACAACAATTTGTGGATCACACAAAGAATTGTTCCATGCGGGAATCGAACCCGCGACACGTTGCGCGGCAGCTAGTTTCCCAGCCACCGCGCCAACCGTGCAATCGGTGCTTATTCGCCGACTCCAATGAACTAAGCAAAGTGCCGATCGCGTACTCGAGTCGATTACTTTAGTCTTAAAACAAACTCGTAGGTACTAAGCTATCAGGTAAAGTAGCTTTATCAAAAAACGGCACTTTATCTAGTAAACAAGAATACATTGATCAAACATAATATTCGATCTTAATCCAGAAGTTTTGGATCGATCTTGATATTTAACAAAAACTCCATAAAAAGTAAAAAAAATCGATCGTAATCAATTTTGGACTCTCAAATCGATTATTATTAATAATTGTGTGCATGGGCATTATTATGTAATGTTATTATATTATTATTTATCTAATTGTTTTTTTACAGAATCACATAGTGATAACAAATAAACAATACAACATCACATCGTAATTATTATTTAGCGTGAATTGTATATTTTTAATAAAAAAAATAATTCTACTAACATTTATATTGTTTTTAAAATCTGGTCACACTAAAGTTTTCCCCTGTGTTTTTATCATGAACATCATACTCACCCAGAATAACATTATTTGGATAACATATAAAAACCATTATGTAATTAAATCACTGTTAAGTATGTTATACGGGAATGAAGTACAAGTAAAACAAGTGAGGGCTACTCTTTATTATATCTATGGGTACATTAAAAAAAAACTTTGCCCCACACTAAGATTGTCTCCGTTGTCCAGCCACCGCACCAACCGTACCGTCACACCTATTTTAATGTGCCTTATATTTTTTTACAAATTAGCGGGCTCAGCCATGCTCCATAGATAAACTTATTACCATAGACTATACTATGACCATAGACTATAAATGCCACAGATACACAACAACCTCCTATATAACCAAACTTGTATATTCTTTTCTTCAGTGTAGCAAGTCAATCCTTCTTGTCAAGTTCTTAGTGAATGAAAAAAATAGATGACAGAGTCACGTACAAAAAGGACGAGGCTGAAGTTATTTCGAGCAACAACGTACAGACGTACATACAAGTTGAGCCTCTATATTAACATAAGTAGGAGCCTGCAATGTTATTTACAAGATTTGTAATAACTTTGGAACGTGCCACTGTTTTGTATAAATTAGGTAAAGACACAAACACCCAGTTATGAGAATTTTATAGATATGAAGGTAAAGAAGGGTTCCTCTATTTTAAGTATATTAGGTCATAAATACAGTAATATAATAAGTACCTTTTATATTTTTAAGTCACAAAATTATTATAATATAATATTTAAATTAATACCTAATTTATGTAGGTATAGTACTATAAATTATATATATTCCTCTTCAAAAAGTGCCACGATTTTCTAGTATTTATCTAGTGGAGCACTATAGGTATATAGTATAATACTTTCGGCCCATAAAATGGCGTATTTCGAGTTACTAAAAAGAAAATCTTTTGTAAGATAAATACATTAAGTACCTGCACACACGTTTATAAAGTTTGTATTTGTGTAAACACATTTACAATATATATTATTGTATACTGCCGATCATAATATCGCTTCATGAAAATTATGTCAATTAATAATAGTATCGATATGAGATCATTAAAAGGAATCTGACACCGAACAAATAAGGCAATTATTATCATAAAAGCTATATAGTATCGCTAATTAATTGACTGATCATATATTACTTCTCGTGATCAAGTTATTATTAATTTTGTCCACAACGAAATACTTGTAATGCGACTGTATGTACAACAATGTTAAAATAATTGATAAATGTTCATATCGATGTAACTCAAATATAAAACCACGGCTATCAATTTTAAATACGTATCTTAGTAACAGTAGGATAATCGAAAATAAACGTAAATGCAGTTTACACTCTTTAGCATAACATAGCATCACGCTTTTTATTCCGGAAGGGGTAGGCAGAGGTGTACATTATGCCACTGTACAATGTAACACCCACTTTTCACTATTTATGTTATGAGTCTCATGTAATAGAGGGTGAGCCTATTGGCATATACCGGGGCAATTCCAGACTCCGTGCTACTACTGGGAATTTTGTAAAAACCCTGTAATACTTTGCCCGACTCGGGAGTCGCACTTGCAACCACTCGGTCTTTAGGAGGTCAGGAAATATTAGATTTTTAGAAAAATGATGAAACAGTCAAGGGAAACTCAATAAATAAGGATAATATAACGATAGTCTTTATTTGGAATTTAAATCGACTCCATTTCGAGTTTACAACCGATTCACATTTTGTAGACGTCTCGGCTTTGCTTGAAGTGTATCCCTTGGGAGGGAAATGTCGCATAAAACAGCTACTTGTTTAAAATTCTATATCGTCTTCATGGAAATTCAACTGCGGAAGATATTGGTCTGTTATCCTTAGAGTTATAGAGATCCATTGGGAAGAATTCATATAAAATTGCGTTTATATACACTATGATTTGGTCCTCATAGAAGTTTATCTCTAAGATAAGTGTGTTTTGACGTGACAACGTCTTATAAATTGGTTTGCCGGGTGACACTTCAAGAAACTGCGTTACGCTCCGCTCACGTTATGCGCTTACAATGAGAGCGAGTGAGAGGCACGCGTCCCTTCTGCTCGGGCTTGGTTAGCCCGCCTAAGAGCGAGAGAGACAGACATAATATTTTACCACTCAAAGTCGTTGTCACGTAAAACTTTCGCCCGTATACCGACTTTACAGGCAACCAATTTCTTTTGTGTGTTCCTAAATTCTTGTTGTGTGTCGTAGGAAATTATATGGTTTTTCTTTCTTTCTTTCTTTCTTTCATAAGTGGACTGTGCTAGGCAGGATATGGGAGAGAACGGAGTAAATGGAGCTATGGCATCCAATAGGTGACTAACTGACCATAAGTGATTAGCCATAAGACCGAGAACAGGTGAAGAGAAGAATATACTGATGCAGAAATCTCACTGATGGGTAGTTAAAACTTTAATGATTTTTCATTACAACAGAATTCCTACATCTGTTGGACGTAGAATATTCGACGTGGATATTTTTGGAAGTATAACATTAATTCTGATTGGACTTCAACCGACATGCTAACGTATGTATGTATGTACGAGTACGTCTAAAAGTTGAAACCCGCTTCACCGATGAACTGCGGTAGCAGTGTTGTAAATGACAGCTGAAATTCAGAGTTAATTTATTACAGAGCAGAGAAATGTTTCCTGACTTTTGTGCCGTATTTTTTGTCAGACATGTTGTTTAAAAACATTTGCTTTAGCCATTTTCAGATGTCTATTGTAATCGAGTAAAAACTTTTAGAGCAATTTGTTCTAAATAAAATGAAATAAATCTAAAATAACATCAATTCCTTTTACATTATGCATAAGCATAATTAATTATCATAGCCATGCTTCGGTACGAATGGGCCGGCTCGACCGGAGTAATACCACGGCCTCACAGAAAACCGACGTGAAGCAACGGTTGCGTTGTGTTTCGTCGTGTGAGTGAGGTTACCGGAGGCCCATCTCCCTCCCCCCTTCCCCGATCTCCCCAATCCCCGAATCTTCAAACTCCTAATCCTCAAAAGGCGGGTAACGCACTTGTAACGCTTCTGGTGTTCCAGGTGTCCATGGGCAACGCCGATTGCTTACCATCAGGTGATCCGTCTGCTCGTTTATAGCATATGCCATAATAGGGGTGTATGTAAACGTCTATTATGTTTTAGAACTATATTAATCTATTTGTTTGTTGAATATTCAGTACCGATATCTATCTATATTCTACACGATAACAATAACTTGACTCAAAGTCAAGTATCAGAAAAAGAATAAGTAAACTGGTTACAAAAATACTATTTTCCAGAACAATCTTTTGAAAAGCTGAGTCTAAGCTCAATATAGGTTCATATCTCGCTTCGTTTCTCCTGGTTTTAATAAAGAAGTAGTTAGATAGAGGTCTCATTACACGTCTGTCGGCACAAGACGCAGCTCTCTACAGCTGTTGCGGCCAGCATCGCAATATAAAGAAAAGGTATGAGATAGAAACGATACTGAAGGTATTTGAACTTGGAATAATATAAAAGGTAAAGGATGAAGACTTTTTTTATCGTAGCTGTGTTGTTAAGCCTAAGTTAATGTACATGGCCGCTTATAATAAATAATTAAGAATGAAATTTTTTACGCAAACAATAACCTGAAAATAATAGACAGAACTAAACATATTACACATGTCAAAAGTTGAATCGTATTTGTTTTAATAAAATTCTATACTATTTTGGAATTGATAAACCCAATCCCAATTTTTGTTGGTCCTTACATAAGGATGCACGACCCAACAAAAATGTTTGCTTTTAAGAAAAAAAGATACAAAATTTACGAAATAGACACACACATGATTTTTATGGTGTAAATATTACTGTTGAGACAAATATATAATGTTTTATTTAATTTTAATCCTGCCTACGGCTACAATTATCTCTAAAGACTCGGGGACTGAACAGTTGCTGAAAATAGAAAATAATTATCGGAATTTTCTCGAAGTCTATAGAAAACTTTTGAGTTCGTAACTAACAATCAGGCCTTATACAAGTGACTGGAATTAGAAATATTATAGTTTACTAAGAGCTGTAACATTTTTAGAAGTTTCTGGATGATTTGATTGTGAGGTCTATGTATTTATTTATTTATTCAATATTACAAAGGACAACACATTACAAGGATGAGGTACATAGGTACTGCATATCTATTAAGGGATTTCTTCCTGCAGACCTGCGACAGGAAAAGAAATTTAAACATAAGACACAGTGTAAATGATACATGCAATGAATACAAAACAAAATAAAGCAACTGAAATAACTTAAAACTAAAAAGACCAGAATATAATAGTAAAATATATATGAACTTAATCAAATTATAACAAAAATAATAAATAAAATTTATTGGTAAAAGTGAACTAGAGTTATAGAACAATAGATAATTCACAGCAGAAACAACTTATACACGCAGATTCACTTTGCAATATCAATTACATCAGGCACTTTTGTTCTATACTTCAATTTCAATTTCAACTTCATATTCCAATTCGTATGGTTGTTTACACACAAAACGACAAGGTAAGTATAAAATCGCATCAATTTTACATCTATCATGAGCACGCCCTCTCCATATTCCATCAATGACAATTTTGCGGCAACTAGACCGAGGCATGTTTTATTCAAACTGACAGCGGTCACAGGGTTCCGTGCCAGACGTTGGCACGCGGCGCGCGGCTATGAACGACCGAGGCAAAATAAGGGTTAAATATCATGGCCTTGTACGTCTAAAAGGCGTTAAAGTGTTGACGTGAACTTGTTTTAGCTTTATTTTATACTTTAGTGCGTATAATAGAGTGAAATTAACTACATGTTTATGGTTCAATCTACTTTCTACATT